CTTGAAAATGCTGCCCTGGGCCTGCGGCCTCGGGCAGCATTTTCAAGACCTCGGTCACAGTTTTTCACTATACGGACCTCCCAACCGACAAATAGCATATATATATTCATACTAAATTAGGTTAAACTTACCAAATGGTTCAGGCGCCTCAAGGGCAGTCGTAGATAAATCATATTGCATTTATCACCAGCAGTTTATTACTTTCTTCTGACTATCTTCTCCGCCATCTTGTACAGTTTTCTCCGTACAGCGGAGGTAAATGCAGGCGCGGCTGCGTGCCTTTATTTCGTTCCCAGTTTCTGAGCTGTTAGGCGGGAGGGGACGCAATGGGAAGTGTCCTTTTAAATAGTTATATGTGGGGTTTAGTTAGATTACTGTGAATCCCTGGCAAAAGAGATTCAGCGGGGAGAGGTGTCCAGTGTGGGGTCTGTCCGTCCAGCCTGGCAGCTAGGCTCAGGCCCCGTCCACACCACTATACTACGGAGGGATTTGAAAGCGGAGGTTTCACTACGCATCAAATGTTTTCCGTCCACTGTACGCCGGAGAAATCGGAAAACGCAACAATCACCGTTTGAATTTGTGTTTGAGCAAAATAAGCTTTGTTTTCAAAATGGTTTCCGTCCACACTGAGAGGCAAAGCCGGCGTTTTCAAATTTCTCCGGTTTGAAGAGCGTTTTCGAAAACTTCGTTTTAGTGTGGATGGTAGGCCTAGCCGGAGAAATAAAGCTGCGTTTTCAAATTCCTCTGGCGCAGTGTGGACGGAGCCTGACACAATATCAGCAAAGAAAATTGAATGAGCATGCTTGTTCGTTTCTCTTGTTTGTGGCCATTCTATCAAGCTAAATTCTTATGATCGAAAGTAGCCCACCAATGCAATGCGAACGAAACCTGGCACCAGAGCGAAGCTGGATTTATCAACGAGCGCGAATGTAGCCAAGAGCAAAAGAAACGAGTGTAGACAGACTAAAACCCATCTAGTTCAAGATAAAGCAGTACGGGTAGATATTAAAGAGTGCCAAAAAATCAAGATATAAATTCTCCTCTCCATCTGCTATACGTTTCTTCATTTTTTCCGAGAATTTGGTAGTAAATCAAGATTGGTTCACCCCAAGCTGATGACTCTGTATATTCTGGTCACCTGTAAGGCCCTTGAAAGGCTCTATGCCTCACAATACAATAGACGAATAAGAAATTTATCCATCTGATAATGAAAATGTTTTGAAAAACTAGGAGACCCTATGAGTGCTGATTTATTTGTCTCGTAACGTTTATATTTGGCGTGGAATCATATTCCTACTTTTACGATTACTAGTATTTTATGGAACGATAAATGTCATAATAAAAACTTAATCGAGACCGTAAACCGGGCAAGAAAAGCCCCTGACACCAGGCCCCAGGGAACGATAAGGCTCACGGGAGCTAGTAGTCAAGTATTAACGACTAGCTCCAAAATGGAGCGGTTTTTGAAATGCACACTTTTGGCCGTTATATTCGAGGTTGTACTTCAGGCTGTTTAGTGGCAATACTGGGATAATCCAGGGGTAAATGTCCTTTATTTTCCATTCAGTACATCAAGACAATCTCAAAGGGAACTTTCAATCCAGCCGAGTTTAAGCCTGGAGCCAAGAGTTTTTAAACTCCATCCTCTAGGCCTGGTGGGAGTCAATAACACCTCGGTAGGACTGGTGCTCAGTCTTTCTCTTGGTGAACTGGTACAGGGAGGGAAATCAGTCGGAGTTGAGGGTCGCGAACCTCCAATCTCTTTTTCGTCGTCGTCTAACGGAAGTTTTGCGCTGTTCTGAATGGCACTTTCGAAGACAAAGCCTTGATTTAAGTTTGAGCTTGTGGCTGTCGTGTAGCGTTGAAGAATAACCTCGCTGCTGAGGTTTTCCATCAAACTATCACGGCTTCCGGCATTAAACACGTGATTGTTTCTATTGTTGTTGTTTTCGACCACTACGCTCCCGTCAGTTCCGCCAGTTTCCGCGCAAAACCGTCCGTTGTCTTCTTGACTGGAATATCGCGGATCAGAGGAGCAGTTTGAAAGCTTGGCCTTAAGAGCGAGCATTTCAAGCTTTGCCATTTCATCTAGAGGAAAAGGCGCGAAATCGACAGACAGTCGTCCCTTGGGACTGACGCGCGGTAAGCTGGGACGTTTTAGGTGGTCGTATTCAAAGCCAGATCCGTCCCATGATCCTCTACTGCCAGTGTTGGTGCTGCAGCCTCGCATTCGCAAACTACGTCTTGCGCATGAGCATAACCAGCTATACAAGAATTCCCTCTGGACTGTATTTATTCTGGATTCTATAAGCTCTACTCCTTGAGATTAAGCTGTCTCATGCTCTACCGACTGAGGATTACAAGGATTTTGAAGGATTCACTTCGTACAAAATTTCAATATGGCTTCTCATACAAAGTAATAACATTCAACGTGTCCCAAAAACACTTTCGGTCTCGTGACAATTACGTCATCGCGTACAGCCAACAGAGTAGGAACTGAAATTCCTCTCTGAAGTGTGGATTACGGAAACCGTAAATGTAAGGATTAAGTGCACTGCTTGCAAACTCGCACCAGTAGGCGGCCTTGCCCAAGGCTATAACTCTGCGATCAGCTGATAGCGAGGCGCTCGCCACACTGACTAACACTACATATAGGAAATATGGCAGCCAACACAGCAGAAAAACCACAAATAAGATCAGCACAGTAACCGCTACTTGTCTGTGGGCCGTGGTGGAGTTGGTACTACACGTGCTTGAAAACGAGACTCGACTGACCCGCCGAGCGTGACGCCTGGCTGAGCGGAAAATGTTGCTGTAAGTAAATTCCATGATGCTGAGCGGTATTACAAAACCACAGAGAATAACAAACGTTGCGGTACACTTTTTCAGCAAGATTGGAGGAAACCGGACTCCACACTGAGTGGTACCTGATTAGGAAAGATCAAGGAAACTATTTTAGATTAAGAATCCATTTTGTTCAGTTGGAAGCTGAGGAAACTAGACCTGAGGCGCTTTGTGAATTCTTGAGGGAGAGCTAACTCTAATAGACCTAAAATGGTTAAAATAATAAATTTTGGTTCCCCCACCGTGAGGCAAAAGCTCCAGTGCCTGCTGTCTATCATAAAGCCTAACATTAATCGAACCATTTTCAGTGGCACATATTTTATGAATTCAGTAGATCAGTAGAAGCACTTGTACAGGTTCCATGAGCGATAGAGAGTTCTTTGAAAGATGTCGCCCAATCATGGCGCGATCATGTGCTTGGCAACTTCTAAACGAAGAATTCAAGATTCGTCCGGGCTCAGAGACTGGAACTACTTGCTCGCAGAACTGAATCAGACAAAATACGTCAAGAGCAGCAGAGGTAGAAATTCATGTTGTATAAAAATTAAAAAGAGTGTGAATGACTAATTTGCTCCAAAATTATAAATTGGCGACATTTCTTTTAGTAAATTATAACTGTTATTAACACACATGAAAAGATACCTGGTTTAAATTCATACTGAGCGATACCAAAGAAAGGTACACAGGCAATAATGTTTGGCAGAATCCAAGTCCATAACAGGAGACCCAAGGCAAACTTTCGGCTCAAGTACCTGTGGTACAGCGGCTTACAGATGGCAAAATACTTCTCCACACTTATAGCGGTCAGCGTAAGTAGAGATGTCAAGCAAAACAATATGTTAACGAACCCACTCAACTTGCACAAGGCATCGCCTAGCACCCAGCCGTGACGCAAGCACGTGACCAATGAAAATGGCATGCAAAGCACCGCAACTCCAATGTCGGCACATGATAGGTTAATAATGAACATGTTAGTACGCGTGCGCAGTTTACGACGTCAGTAAACTGCTAAACAGACGGTGCCGTTGCCAACCAGAGTAGCCATCATAATCAGTATCAGGCTTCCGCTCATTAAAATGTGCTCTAGCTCACTGTGCATGGCCATCGTGGGCTCAGATGTTGTGATATTGCCTTGTACATTCATTGTAATCGATAGACTTTTGTTTGCTGTCATGTTGTTATTGCTCCTTCCTGTCTTTAGTAAGGGTTCTAAGATTACAAAGAGAATTCATCGTTAAAATGAATAATAGAGTGCCTAGTACAACACAGATCATCGATCAACAAGTCTGACATTTTGACCCCGCTAACGTGTCTTACAGCCCCGGTGGGGGGGGGGAGCACTGCCATATATGGGCTATATAGGCGTGTGCGAAGGGTATGGTTTTCAAGCAGTTTACTCTAGGATAGGGTATATAAATCAGAGCGTTTGGGTCTAGAGTAGGGTATCATTTTCCCCAAAATTAACTAGTTAGTTGAAGATTTTATCTAGACTAGGGAAAGCAGGAATTGCCACTCAAAAATATAAAAATATCAAATCGGCAAAATTTAAATTAACGCAAAGCAGCCGCAATAGTGTCGATAGATGGGGGGATTTGGAGAGTTTACTCTAGTATAGGGTGGCAAAATTCAGCTGAACTAGCTCTGGTATAGGCTAAGGGTTCCAGGGTCCTAGCGGCACATCCCCACCCAGAAATTCCCAAAGTACCCTCCCGGGCTTACAGCGAGGCAATGGCCTATGGACCATTTTAGTATTCTCGGTATTGGACTGGAACTAGCTTGCAACTGAGGCTAATGTGGGGAGTCTTTTCAGATGGAAATTACATTGATCTCTTTTTAATGATATTTCCCCGCATGAGCCTCCATTGCAAGCTAGTTCCAGTCCAGTACCGAGATCGAGAATACGAAAATGGTGTATTCTCTCTATGAGATGCGCCTGAAGGGAATCATGGTAGTTGTATTCATCATTTTGGACTGGATATTTGTTTTGATGAATGAAGCTACCATTATTTCCTGCAGGCGCGTCTTATGGAATGAATTGACAATTAAATGGTATGTAAAGATCTCTCAATTCCGTCTTGCCATAGTTAAGTTAATCCCTCCATGATTTCGAGTGAAATTNTTTTTTCAATTTACATATGTTATGACCTAACTTACTTTAGGAACAAAATAAACTCGATTGGTATTCAAGTGCAGTCATGAGTCATCACACACCGACAACATTACAAATCTGGTTAAAGAAACTAGCCTGTTCCTGGTTATCGGTTGGGAGCCGGCGCGGTGAAGAACGAGTGTAAAAAATGGCGCTCGAGAAAGTGAGATTTCCCTGCTCTTTCATATACCTCAACTTGTGAAATCCCTACCCTTTTATATACCTGAAGCCTTAAAAAGGTATCCCTTTCCGGTGGAGCCTCCACGTTCAGGCCATTATAGGGAGAACTCCCCCCCCCCCCCCCCCCCCCTCCGGGAAAAAGGCGCTATTACTCTCATTCTCGTGCTCGCCTCCTTTGTCCTTAGCTGCAAACCAAGAGCCTGGAAGAGGCAATGCATTAGTGCCCTGTTTTCGTTTTCTTCAGTCTCCCCTTGTTTCTCTTCAAAATCATTTTTACTTTATCTGAAACAGTAAGACTAAATAATGACAGTAACAGAATTGAATTAGTTCAGTAGATCGAACATGATCGATGTATGTTACGCACTGCTTAAAGTCTACAACGCGTGGTAGAGAGAAAAGTAAGGAAACATGCACTTTTGATTCCAGAAAATTGATCTTTCGTCTTACTTCGTACTTTGCCTCACTTTTGAGCAGGTTTTGCGTAGATCTCCTAACGAAATCGGAATATAATAACCTCTAATTGTTTTAACCACATGGTTGTAAGTCACGTCAGCTTCTGGCGTTCACCTTACAAATAAACAGGCAGCGCTAGACCCATACGGTTAGAAAGCAACAGGAGAAGACTTTTAATCATGTTAATGTTATAACCAAACTTATATAAATAACACAAGAAATTTTGCCCGCATTGGAAATCTAGCCTCATTATTTGGCCTACGTTAATGGGATAGAAAATGGAGCAGATATTGTTTGTGAGGAAATGTGTGTTAACAAGCTGATAAACCATGTTCGTAATCCACTCAGAGACTTAGAGAAAGCCTTGTAGTTATTAACAGAATATAAGAAGCTCTGCACATGGACTTACCTTTCTCAGAGAGGGCACCGGTTCTCAGTGAATCAACGGAGTCTGCGCACAATTTACACAACATGATGATTTTGTCAGGTAATTGAAGTGCTGTAACTTGTCCAACAGCAATGCTGAAAAACTATCAACAATATAGCATTGTGTACGTTCCGACTAGTCGGATTACCAGCTTTTCAATTGTTATGTTCACCGGAAATGCACCTTCTTTGTTCTCTTTGACAAGGTGAACGTGGATTTTAAATCTTTCAATTCAAACACAAAAAGAAGAAAGCGGGGCCGACTCGGAGTTCGGATCACAGTCGAAAGAAAGGTGAGAAAAAAGGCATTTTAGGTGCACAAGCTTCATAGGTTTGTTTATTAGAAATTCAAGAATAATACGTCAGCAGCAATGGTGTTGCCAAAAACAGATAACACAGGACAGGAGGCGCATGGCACTCAAGTGACTAAGGTATGCGAAGAATGGGACAAGAAAGCGAAAGCCCCGCAATCAAAGACAATTTTTCTTATGACCCTGATAACCTAAAATGATGATAACCTAAACCCTTGCCTCAAAATGTATAAAAATAGTCGGGGATTCTCGTCGTCTTGCTTTGGGTGTAAATCAAGGATTCTGCTATCACTTACGGTGTTCATGGCGAAACACCAGTATTTGTAGCCGACAAAGTATCTTTAAGGGTGCAATCGAAGAAATATCAAAGTGGGGTCAAAGAGGCCCGAGCCACACCACGTCTCCTTTTGGGGGTTTCAATAAATTTTTCCGACGACCATCCCCGACCTTTTCATATGGGAGTTCTCCTCTGGGCGGTACACAGAAAAGTTACAAAACAAACAAACGCTCCCTAAAGTCAGTTTTCTTTTCACTTTCCTTGTTATATTTAAAAATTAAAGGTACGAGATTGGAATGTCATCCACATGTGTTCAATAAGTACAAGGGGGTTTTCCACAAGAAACAAGTTCCTTCTTATGGCTCATCACGCAATCTTTCACGTCACTCAACCAAAAGATTGCGTGACGAGCTATAAGACCAGGTTACAGGCTGGCAAATGTGCGAATCTTTGCAGCTAATGTAGCTGGGGTTTATGCAGTATCATCCAATATTCATGGCAGGCTCTACATTCAGAAAGTTGCCGTAACGATCAGCCGAAATCTCTAAACATCAACATCATCAAGAAAAATGTAACTAGATAATCGTTTGCAAAAGAAATATTTCTTTTAGAAACTCAGTAGCCAAAAACAAATTTTCTGGTGTTCCCAAATTCGACACAGAACAACGACCTATCATTCTCTGTTTTTCCAAAATTTTACCGGGATATGTTGGATATGTTTTATTGTTAAACTGCAACCTGCACAGCTAGTTATACGTAGATTGGAGAAATATGTAAGTGTCAGACATGAGTACATCTGACGTTTTTGTCTTTTCTATTCCTATTTGATATGCACACTCCGGTTTTTATAGCCAAAATTAAATGGCCAGATTTTGTTTTGAACTCAAAACTTTACAAAACTAGGACTGTATTGAAGACAGCTCACAGCTGTGTTTCCATCCAGATAATTTTAGATTTCTCATACACCTTGGTCGTCTCCGAAAAAGAGACAGCTTTCTCTCTGTTTTTGACCGTAGCGTGATGATAATGATCTTGAAAAATTTCCTTGGTGTGGTCCGAAAGGGAAGAGCACGAGTTTGAGTCAACTTCGCGCCCTTCGCAACTGGATGATCCATAAGAAGTCGAGCATTCTGAGTTTGACTGGCAACCGCTACACAGACTATCAACCTCTGACTCACTGGAACACGCGACCTCCTGGCTGCCGCTAATCATCACGTGATCACTTTCAGAGCATGCGCTGGAGCATGTGGAACACATGACTTCATTGGCTCTGCCGGTGTGTGCGTTTTGATGCAGTGATGCCAGCGACGTAAAACTACTTGGAAGCGTTTCGTTTCTTAAGCAGGAAGGATCGTTTGTCAAATAAATGTGTGGTAAATCGTCGATAGATAGAATTTGCCACACCTCCACTGTTTGAGTTCCTCTGTCGGTTGTTGGCTTATTAATTCCCTCGTTTGGGCTGACTATGTCTTCCTCGGACAGTGTAACAGCGTTAATATAAGGGGGGTAGGCAGAGGACGTTTTGTTCCAGTCGCTGTGCGGTTGAGGCGGCGGCGAATACGGTTCACCTTCTGAGGCATGCCCTTTTTCCAGTGCTTGCTGGTCATTTTGAAATCTTCGACAGCACATCGAATACAGCTCTTTTCTGATGAGAGGATTCCTGACACCGTACACGAAGGGGTTTACGCTGCTGTTTAGAAAGGCAAACCAATATGACACTAGGCCCAGGCTGTGCGCAAATGCATTCGGGATCTTCATGTGGTGGATTGACATGTACATCATTTTGAAAAAGAAAGGTGTCCAGCAAATAACGAAAACGATGAGCATAACGAAAATGGTCAGCGCGATTTGTTTTTGAGCAGTCAGCGAGATCTCGCTCTCAATACTCGACAGCGACATCCTGGAAAGACGAATGTTATGTTTCCTTGCGGCCCTGAAGATATTGATGTAGCAGAATCCCATGATGCACAGCGGCATAAGGAAGGCGACTAGAAGCATCACAACAGCGTAGACGGTTTGACTGTTACTTTCGGTGATTAAGACACCGCACTGGGTCGAACCTGTAAAACGAAATACAAAAACAAAAGTATTTAAAACAAAAGCAATCATAACAGTGACGGTGTTCGGGAATGTGTTCTTAAGCCAGCATTTTTATTGCTTTTTTTTCTCACCTCGAAACTCGTCAAAAATCCTCCGCTACCCATGGTATTTCAACTCTCTTTTCTGTGTTCAGAAAAGCCACGAAACATTCACTCCCGTGTGTGACCTTCCGTTTTCAAGTTCGTTAATTATTTTTCAAGTCTAAACAAACGTTGGCTTAACCATCAACGTGACTGCATTTGCATCAGTCCCATGTTAATTAGCATAACTTTTTACGTTTTCTCCGTTTTCTCTTCAGTTTTAGTTTCGATTGGATAAAATATATCAAACATTTGAGAGAGTGTTTTAGCACATTTCTAACCACAAAATTACTCCACTGCGCAAGTATTTTGAACTCTCTTCTCGGTATTTGGAAAAACACGGTCTGCCGAGTTTTAATTATATTACTATCTCCAGGCAAACTCTTGGTACAACTATCTCGTTTAATAGAAAATCGTTGTCAGTCGCACCCTCTCATAGGTCTCGCGCCCAAAAACATTTCACGTTTCATACTTAAGCACTAGACCACTATTTCTATGGGTTTACCCGGCGGCGCAATAAACCACGCGGGATGCAGGGAGAGGCAAGAAAAGCTCGTAAATAACTGGTCGTTAGGCGAGTGACTTCCAAGCTTTTCGAGTGTTCTCCCAACAAGTCTAGTAGACTTATTTCGCGGGACGTAAACCCATAGAGATAGTGGTCTATTGCCTAATGAAAAGATATTCGTGTTAATGATAATTTTGTCAGCCAGTGTGGATACGCAAAACTGTTATTATGTTCTCGCTGTGTTCTGAGTTCTCTAATTCCCGCGTAGTGCCACCATTTCGGGAACAGTGTATTTACCGGTGCAATAGAACATAGGTTTGGCAACTCCAGTGACCAATCAGGTCGCGCGTAGTAACTCAGTTATTTTATCATGGCATATAACGCGTACTTTTACGCTATAAAACTTCCCAAGTTTGCGCAAGCAAGTCGACAACATCAAGGGAAAACAACATTCTCAGAAACTTGGCATTCGAACCTACAAACCAGACTTTCGTGGATCCGCGCTATTTTCAGATACGTTGATAGTCACCATTGCAAGAACTATATTACTGATGCGATTTTAATGTTGCACCTTGCAGAAATTTGGCGTCGAAAGTGAAAGCAAATCTTCTTTTCGTACCAATAGTAGAAAGTGAAAAACATAATGATGTTGCGCTTACAACTCACTTGCACCTTGATGTAATATAGAATTATCTATGATGTTTATCACTTAAAGATAATTGCGTTATTTTATAAGTCGAAGGAAATGGTCTATTGTAGCATAAGAACTTTATACTCACCAGGCTTGTAAACGAATGTCATAACACCAGTCAGCGGTATCGTCGCCAGAATAAGCGCTGTGAGCCACGTCATGGCTATCATAATCCACGCCAGTCTTGTCGTCATGACAACGGCCATGGGCTTGACGATGGAAAAGTATTTCTCGATGCTTATCGCAGTGAGCGTGAACAGCGATGAGGCCTCGAATAGAATGTACATGAAACCATTCAGCTGGCATAGACCGTCACCAAACACCCAGCCTCGTGTAAAGCACGTGGCAATTGAAAACGGCATGCAGAACAAAGCGACTCCCACGTCTGCACATGCCTGGTTTAGGATAAACATATTTGTGCGCGTGCGCAAGCTGGCGGTGCGGCAGATCGTGACGATCAACGTCATGTTTCCAAATATTGCAACCAGCATGACTATTGCCAGAGCTAGAGCAAACACTAAGTATTCGGTACCACGTCTCAGCTCCGGGTTTTCCTTCTCCAGTTCATTATTTAACAGTGAAGAATTTTCTCTTTGGCTCAAATTTACGTACGCCATAGTTGCTCCTGTAGGTGTAAATAGCACAAGAGTTAATGAATCTCGATTTCTTTCGTAAACGATGTTTTTCAAAAAACATTACGATTTGAAATATTTTTTCGGATTTTGAAAATATTTTTTTCGGATTTCGTAAATATTTTGGGATTGTCCCTTATCGGCTTCCGCAGTTTCCACAGCAATCAGCTTCGAAGTTGACTCTGACAAAAAATTTTAACATTCAATTCTTCGAAGAATATCTTTGGTATGTAAAAGTTACATAGCTGACGTCCTATAATAGTAAAGGCGGTGTTTCACGGGACAAATGCAACAACGATTTCTCGCGGAAAAATTGAACTCCTTGCAAAGATGATGTTAAACGAGACGAATTTTACGCAACATTCTAAATTCGGGCAACAGTGTTGCAGGTTTTTTAATGGCTTTCAAAAACCTGAAACATGTCGCCGCAACGAAGTCTTGTTTTAAGTTGCCCTGTGCACCATGTTACACGATATCGATTTTCAACGCGAAAGATGTTGCGTTAAGATTTGGCGTTAAAAACATCACCGTCAAATCGAAACTATCCACATCACGAAAACATTGGTTTATCGGTGGGTTAAGTTGCGAACTGTGTTGGGAACGCGAAGCTAAATTTACAACAGACTCATTTAGATAAACAAATTGTGGGACTACTTACTGTCGACTGGGCCACTCGATGGTAAATCTTCTGACGTCTTTTCCAGTGGTGAATAACAAGGGTCATCAAGAAAGTCGACTGGAGCTCTGTGATATGAAGGTATAAACTGAAATATACTTATCTGAACAGCTCAACTAAAATTTATGGCTGGAAAGTGAAACAGATACTATTTATGGGAAATTTCCCATGCTTTCTTCTTCCACAGCGCCAGCTTGGAAAATGATATTTAAAGCTGTAGAGTTTCGGCTTTTGTCTCGATCTCCACTGAGCTGAGTTATCATGAGTCATGGATCAGTTAAACACAGCAAAATAAGGTTTAAGTTTATATAAGAATGAGAAACTATGGGAAATATTTGACTGCATTTGATCGGCTCAGTCAGGAGGCAGCTTGTGCACGGTTCAAAACCGTACTTCACGCTTTGCTTTTTTATATTTTGTCAAACTTTGAAAATAGAAAACAGTTGTTTTCTTTTTAAACAACTTAATGAGAGAAGGAGTTTGTACACAGCGCCTGCATACGTCTGAAAACGCTGGCAGAGCGAATATGAAACCTGCTTACAACGGCAGCCAGTTGAATGTCAAAGTGGTTAGTTTTCCCTCCGTTCTTTTTCTTTGTCGCCTCATTTTGAAATATCTACTCGATTTTTATGACTGTTTAATAAAATCTATAGCCACACAATCTTTGCATAGTTCAGACTTGCCATTCTGAAATTGAAAATGTTCAGGAAGACTTGGAATTCAAATCGTTGTTTTGATATCAAACGCTCTTGGTCAGCTGAGAATTTCATGACCAGCTCACCACTGACAGATTGTTGCTCATATGGATCATATTCAGTGCTGAGTCGAAACTCGTGAACTTTCGTTTCAGCGCTGAGATCGGCAGTTTTGTTTTGGAAAAAAACGAAAGAGTATTGAAACGTGACAACAGGTTTCAGTTTATCTGAGAAAGGTCAAACTGAACGTCGGTAATTTGGCACTCAAATTTGAATGCCCAAGCCGTTTTCATTCATCGATATTTGGGACAAATACGTTTAAAATTCAGCTTCTATGTACTTACTGCTCAAACGACAAAGATTCTTTACCTTGTCGTGGCGAGCTATTAACCTCGGTCAAGTACTTTCTTGTTGCTTCGCCAAATTCGTAGACAACTTTCAAAAAGAGTCATCGACAAGTAAACATCTCGTGTAGAAGACCGGATGAACACTTTACTCACAACAGCCTTTTGTTTTAAGGTGCAATTAATATGTGGCACAATAGTCAGAGACATATCATGACTACGTGTTTATTAAGCCCTTTTGTAAAACTTCGAAAAAGTAATGGACTGTTGACATTGTTTATCTAGATGGGCTTCAATAATAGACTTAGATAAGACTGACCAAGCTGACAACCTATCCACTTGGTTGTCAAGCTTCTTTAGAAAGCAAAACTGTTGTTAGAAGGAAACCATAAAGCCGTAATGGACCCGTGAGTTATTTTTATCATCGTTATGTTGCCTAAAGTCGTTCGCGGATGTAAGCACTCTACCTCACGTTCTTCGTCGGTTCTCAAGTCTTGAGCGCAGACATTTTCGCTTTACGACCTGGAATTTCGCTTGAGAAAAATGACGCAAAATGACGGGACAACTGTCCCGTCATTTTCTCTTGATTCTGGATAAGTCTAATATCATTGCTTCTGATTCAGTCCTTCATTTTCAGCTAAAGACCTACGTTTCTATTTTACTCGACATTCTTGCAAAACGGGGAAGGCTGGAAAATGTAACCGATAAGCGGACGTTTTCAGCCTATCGTTTTGAATACGTTTTCGTGCCTTTAACGCTTTCTCCATAGTGGCCCTTACCTGAGAAAGGCCCGCCAGTGCAAATTTTAAAAACACGTCTGCTGATCAAAACTCGTCATTCACGAAATACTGAAGGCGCACGCCTGTATTTGAAAATGGTTTCAACTTCGCATTTTTGTGGAGTTTCTAGAACAAAAGAATGTTGTTGTTGTTGTTGTTTGATAGATTGATCAGTGCTTTATGTCAAGGCGATCAGACGGTTCGCTCCTGGTTTCTCTCGACTTTTATACTGGGTCGCGCCTTGCCGCCGCGGTGATAGAAACCTCTATCGAGCACACCGTATTCTAAATTATTTTCTCAGACTGAAGACTCAGAAAGCTCTTACTATTCAGCTAAATTTTTAATCACGAGGCATAACTCGCGAACTACAAAAATACCGAGAGAACAAGAAAAGATAGTAATTACGCATTCTTTTTCTTCTGTTCTTTCACGCCTCCTTTGTGCACATGTCCAAAGTCACGTGCGGATGTAGGAGAGGCACGGCACGCTCTTGTATTACCACTATAACAGAAATCCGACCTTTCGTTTGCTAATTATCATACACTTCATTATTGCTTCGAGAAGTGAAAGCGTTTCCTGCCAGAACTTCATCAACTAAGCATGAATCTCAACACAGTAGACGCCTTCAGCGTGGCTTTCGCCATTACTGTTTTTTTAGTGTTCGCCATGGCTACATCCCTCGTATCTTCTACTTTGTTTTACGCCGTTTACAAGGAGAGAAAGCTTCGTGTATCTTCAGCTATGCCGTTGATGAATCTGTGCGCTGCCGGACTTGTTCTGGGACTCGTTTCTGGACTGTTCACATTGATATGCGATGTTATACAGGTCAACGAAGCCGCGGAGTTTCTACAGAGCGCGAGATGTTTCGTGGAAGAGTATTCAATCAGTGTCTATTTCCAGGCATTGTTCATTATCAGTGCCACAAGATACGGTTTGGTTCTATGTGGAGAAAAGCTCTGCCGTGTGACTGTCAAACAAGCTGTAGTGTGTATCAGTGTGACCTGGATTATTTCTGCAGTGTATGCAGGTCTTGTGGCATTTTACCGACAGGAAGGAAACGGCAGGCCTCACATCACGCATCCACGAGGTGTTGCGGCCGGACAAGTTACATTCCTTGGCTTTCTGCATTTCGGGGCGCTGTGTATCTACGCTAACTTAGCTATTTATTTTCACCAGAAGAAGGAAAATTTACCACCCGATTTTTATAGCTTAGGGTCGAGCAGCCGGAGAATGGCAGAAAGGAACATTCGCACATCGGCCAAGAACATTCAAATGATTGTCTTAATCGTGGGAACGTTGTGCGCATGTCACTTGCCATACCTTGGCATTGTTACCACTGCGATGTTTACAGGTCAGCTGTCACACAGTGTCAAAGTGCTCGCAGTCGTTGTGATGCAAAGCGGAATTTTACTCAACCTTGTTATTAACGGCTACCTTAACAAACGATTCAAGCGAGTTATCCGACCAATGCTACACCGCTTGATCGACAAAATCACCAAACACAAGAACAGACGAAGACAGATCAACGAGCTACTTCCTCAAAACAATTTTTCGTCAACCAGGATCAGCTTCAACATCTCCCACGAGAGTTACGAGTTAACCCGCAGCAAACTTGCATTCTTTTACCGCGGACCTCTCTTCTATCCCCAGACCCACTCAAGTCTTTTAACTGTCGGGGCCTCGGTACGATAGTTTCAAAGTCTCAATTCTAGGTCCCGCTCGGCTTTGATTGCGAGGAAGACGCCACTGAAGTTGTGGTTACTAGTTTTATTGAATGACACAATAAGATCAAGGCAAGTTTTGTAATCTATTTTATCACTTTCAGTGTATTTATTGATTCAAGTCATTAAAGCTTAGTATGGTATTTTTATTATCATCACTACATTGTGGAGGTTTAGGTACATCTACATATACCATTACCCATACACTAACCTAAAAACTGTAAGATCACCGGCAGACATTTTCATCTCGGCAACGCAAAAACTTAAAGACAGTCCATGGCAGAAAACAAGGATCCATTCTTCCTCGTTAACACCAGGTGATTTAGCAGCTCTCGTAAGGTCTCACATGAGTGGCTTGCTACCCTTTGAGAGAACAATAGAACAAACAGCAGAAACAATGCCCCTAGCCCTAAAACAATAA